CCCGCGGGCTCAGGCAATCCACTCACTCACCTCAGCCTCCCAAAGGCACGGGATTACAGGCTGAGCCACCGAGCCCGGCTGACTTTTTTTTTTTTTTATTGGAACTTATTTATCTTTTAGTTTTTCTTTTTTTTGAATTGAAGTCTCACTCTGTGGCCCAGGCTACAGTGCCGTGGCATACTCGTTGGCACCCCAGTGTCGACCTGCTGGGCTCCATCGATCCTTCCACCTCAGCCTTTCAAGTAGCGGGAACTACAGGTGCATGCTAGCATGCCTGGCTAATTTTTTGATTTATTGTAAAGATGAGGGCTTGCCAAGTTGTCCAGACTGTTCTCGAACCTGTGGGCTCAGGCAATCCACTCACCTCAGCCTCCCAAAGTGCTGGGATTACAGGTTTGAGCCACCATGCCCGGCCTTTGCCAAAGTTTATTAGCTAGTAAATAATGGGGTAAGAACAAACATGGCACTTAGACTTTAAGCCCTGTTCAGTTAACACTACACAAACTGCTTTAAGTATTACTTTAGAAAAATTGATGTTTTTAAAGATTACTGAAATGTTCAAATAGGAATAGACACTTAAATTATTTTAAATAATTAAAATTATGATTAAAATATTTGTATATGAAATAATCTGCTATATTTTAGGATAAAGTGTAGGAAATAAATAATGCAAATTTTATTTAGGAGCATTTATTCAGAGTTAAAATTGTTATATGAAAACTAAGGGGATACATTAAGAATTTTCTATATGAGGTAATTTGAAAAAAATGAAGAAGAACAAGGAAGGGTCTACAAAAACTATGGGCTTTTTCTCTCCCCTTGAGAGACTACCTTTAAAAAATGGCAGCAGTAACTTATTTGTCAGTGACTGAGTTCATGTGTCTGGACTCTCAGAACAGCCAGAGCTCCAGCTGCCCCTCTTCCTCCTCCTCCTAGGGATCCATGTGATCACAGTGGTGGGGAACCTGGGTATGATCACACTGATTGGGTTCAGTTCACACCTGCACACCCCCATGTACTATTTCCTTAGCAATCTGTTCTTCATTGATCTCTGCCATTCTATTCTCTTTACCCTAGAAATACTTGTGAACTTTGTGACAGAGAAAAACATCGTCGCTAAATTGAACGAAAGACTCAGTTCTATCTCTACCTCGTGTTTGCTATTGCAAAATGTCCCATGGTAGCTGCAAAGGCCTATGACTGCATGTTAATACAGATTATTGCTATGTATAAATATTTACCATAAATGATAATGTTAGAATTGGCAGGGAATTCACTTGTAGGAAAATTATTGTAGGAAAATTAGACAACTGGGGAACTGTCAAGTGCATTTTTCCCTCCATAGTGGATCCCTGAGAAATGAAAATCCTTGGAGAGTTTTTGTTTCCATGTTATATATTACCTGGTATATCTAAACCCAGAGCAAATCTTTACAGCACAGCAATCAGAACCGTTCAGTGACTGTGAACGGTAAGGATGTTTGCTATCCTGAAGCTGCAGAAACGTAAACTGAAAAGTTATAATCAGAAATGCTAACCTGTGATGCAGACCAGCTTCAAAGCGACTCTGAGACTGAGGGCTAGGCCCTACCTTCTCAATACTAAAGGTTGCAAAATGCTGGGTACCTGACTTTCAGCACCTGCGTTAGGGTCATTGTTCTCCAAGTCAAAGACAGCAAGATGCAAATCAATTGGGCATTGAATTGTTTCAGACAGTGGAAAGGTGAGTGTATTCATCAGTTGCTTGTGATTTAAGACCACTTGATCTGGAGGTAACATTCATGAAAACTCAGGTGTATATTCCTTAATATCTTCATATATTAAGTTATTCGTAAAACTGTTTTAAACTTCTTACAGCATGCCAGTCATCTTGCTGGATGGATAGAAGATAAACGCGTGGTCCATCACCTGGCTTATTGTATAGCTCAGTCTAAAATGTGCTATTTAGAAATGAGTTCTTTGAGCTTGTGGAAAGGTCCAACTTGTACAATAAACTGATAAATGTTTCCAAGATGACTTCAATTGAAGTGAGATTCGAAAAGAAGCAAATATTTGCCAGACAACAAAGAAAAGGTGTTAGTAAGACTATGTCATGTGAAGAACAGCTAATGAAAAGGCAGACAACAAAGTGAATGTGAGGGGAAAAAAGCCAAATGTTTTTGTAGCAAAGGAAGGAAATTACAGGGTAAACAGGGACAAAAGATATTGTGAATTTGTGTACTTTATCCTAAATGTAATTAAGAAAATATTTTCATCAGTTTTCCTGAAAGTAAAACATCATGAGGTTCTGTCCATTGTATTTTAATGACTAGGAATAAGTAGCACACCTCCTATCTAAGAACTCAAATATTAGAAAATTTTTTCTTATATTGGTTAAAGAATGTATCTTAAATCTTTCAAATACGACACACAAGGTTAAAACCACATCTCTTTGCTTCTCTTAAGATACATGAAATACCTGCTAATTATCCCATTATCTTTAAATACTTTTCAAGCTCTTGACAGCTTCAGTGTGCCTTCCATCTTGTCAATATTCTTTTTGTAAATGAAATTCCACAATGAAACACTCCAGATGTAATATAAGTGTGGAACAGTGCTTCCTAATCTCATGAGCACATAGAAATAAAAATATTAATATGGGATACTGGGGTTAGTGGATGAGTCAGCTTGAAGCTGATGGTGACAAGTTTAGAGGCTCTCAATGCCACAGGTTTATATGCAATACCCCAAAGGCTAAGGCTTAATACTTCAGCACCATTATGAACGTTTTCTGACATTCTAGTTCTATGGCTATGAAAGCTATGTTATAGATCTTATGTGAATTGTTAGTCACCATAGTCTACCCATTGTATTTTTGTAAATGAAATCTCTATTTCCCATTGCTTTATCCATCACCTACTATTCTATAGACTTCAGTGAGTTAATAACAAATGACTTCTTCATGGTATCTAGAAGTTAACAGATATTTTCTTTTCTAAATTTCACCTTGCTTGTTTTATTTATTTTCAGTATCTCGATATATTTTTCTGTTTTTTTAATAGTCATATATGGCTGAAGTTATAGTAATTTGGGAATATTGTTTGCCAAAGGATGTACTTGTACCATACCATGGGGGATTGCCAATTCCCAAGTCCAAGTTTAACTCACTGAAAGAAAATTTCACCAAGTTTAATTCCACAGAACTCTTTCCAAATGTACTCCCTACTATCATAATTACAACTCAAGTAATCAAAACTAAATAAGTGAAAGAGTAAGAGAAAAATCATTTTATTTTATTTTAGTTTTTTTTTATAATCAGTATTTTTTATTATGATGCTATGGGGTACAGTTAAGGGTTAGGTATACAGATATGTTTCATTCAGGCACCCTATTGATAAGAGGTGCTTCCCCATCCTCAGACAGATATTTGCTTGTTAATCCCATCTCCCCCCCCATAGTTTCCCACTACTGTCAGTCATTTTCTTATAGTATTAGATTGGATGTTCAAGGTACATTATATGAGTGAGAACATGTGATACTCGGACCTTTGTTTTTGTGAGAGGTCACTCAGTATTATAGACTCTAGTTCCATCCAGGTTGCTGCAAAATTCACGATTTTGTTCTTTTTTATGGCTGCATAGTATTCCATTGCACGTTTTTTTAATCCAGTCCTCTTTTGATGGGCAGCATGGTTGCTTCCAGGTTCTTGCTATTGTGAACAATGCTGCGATAAACATACGTGTGCAGGTGTCTTTTTTATAGAGTGATTTGTGTTCTTCCAGATATATTCCCAGTAGGGGGATTGCGGGGTTGTATGGGAGGTTGATATTTAAAGCTTTTAGGAAGCGCCACACTGCTTTCCACAGAGGTTGCACTAGTTTGCACTCCCACCAACAGTGTAGAAGTGTTCCCTTGAGAAAAAGTATTTTATATTCATGATGTTATGTTTTTTGAAATTGCATAATTGACAAGCTCACTTAACTGGCTTTGGCCAGATCTCTAATTGCTACTGTCATATACAACCAATTTTTAATAAGCAAGATTGACTACAATAGATAGGAAGCCCTATCTTTTAAATTTGTCCTTATGTTAGTAAAGGAGCATCATTTGTTTCACAAGCCAAGGTATTTTTCAGAGCCTCATATTGATTCTATAGTGATTAGAGTAGGACAAGTAAATAATAGAAAAGACACTTTAAAGTAAATAAAAAATCAAATATATTTAGCTTTGGAGCTCCTAATTAATTAGGGAAACCAATCAAGTTTTATGCCTGTCTAACTTTAGTTCAATTTTATTGCCACATTATACCTCATTACAGTGAATATTATGCTTAATAACAAGTCTCTACAGCAATATTTTTCTTCTTAACACAGCCCTGTTGGAATGTATTAATAATTATTCACCTATTGATTATATTGGCTATTTTTTCTAGTTTAATTTCATCTGTAAATTATGTGATCATATATTTATATCTTAATTTTAACTAAATTATTGAAAAATGAATAATAGAGAGTATAGAATTAGATGATGAGTTCCATTAGCACAGGAAATGTGTCATTTCACTTTTTATACATTTTGGCCTCAGCCCAGTGTCTGGCTCCTTGTCTCTCAGTAATGTTTGTTGAAAACAAAACAAAACAAAACAAGAGAGCTAAAGAGAGAAGGAGAAAGAAAGGGAGGGAAGCAGCTGGGCACAGGGAGAATTTCAGATGAACTAGAAAGAAAATGTTTATGAGAGCTATTCTACAGTGACTAACCTGTCTCCAGGGAGCAGGACTTAAAGCATAGGGAGGTGATTCAGGAACTTTTGTTTTTCTTTATAATCATGTTTGTATTTTACAATTTATCATGTTTCTTAAATGCCATGATTTCCCAGATGACTCTGATGATGAACTGTATCGGGAAATCCCTGGATTAATATGCATTCTTTGTGTTCAAATGTGTTCAACATTTACTGTAAAGCAACCGCCACATTACTCTATCTTACAAGCATATTAGAAAGCCTATGTTATCAGCTTGTGTGAAACAAAGGTGAACTGTGTCTATGGCATATCCACACTTAGCAATGGAAGCAATGGCTTTGATATAAAATTCCCTGATTTGAGAAAAGCTAGATTCTAGAAAGAAAGGCATTTACTGATTCTATATAAGAATGCAAGTGAGGACAGATTCAAGGGGAAAGCAATATAGTGCTTGAAGCCTAGCACATTATGATAGCCACTTTGACTTTCTAGAGCAGGGTACTCCAACCCATTGGCCATGATCAGTACTGGCCAATGACTTATTAGGAACCGAACTGCACAGAAGGAGATAAGCAGCGGGAGAGCAAGAGAATCCTCAGCTGTATTTACAGTCGCGCCCCATCATTCACATTACTGCCTGAGCGCCACCTCTTGTCTCATCAGCAGCAGCATTAGATTCTCTTTGTAGCGTGAACTCTACTGTGAACTGCACATGTGAGGGATCTGGATTGCACGCTCCCTAGGAAAATCTGATGCTTGATGATCTGAGGTGGAGCTGAGGCCTTGATGCTAGCGCTGGGGAGCAGCTGCAAATAGAAATCAACATTAGCAGTGAGGTTTGACTGCACAGAGACCATAATAAATCAATTGCTTGCAGACTTATATCAAAAGTGAGTTGATGTACTTCAATTGCACAGCTGTATCTGGTAGCAGGCTTTAAGTCAAAGAGCCTTATTTTAGTCCACACGTGGCCTGCTCACTATTTTACTTACCACTTCCCTCTTTGTCTCTTTTTTTCTTTAATGGTGAGTTGTATAATTATTTCATTATATATTACAATGTAATAATAATAAAAATAAAGTGCACAATAAATGTTACACGCTTGAATCATTCCCAAACCATCCCCTCTCCACCGGGCCATGGAAAAATTGTCTTCCACGAAACTGGTCCCTGATGCCAAAAACGTTAGGTTGGGACCATTGTTCTAGAGTACAATAACCTTTTGATCTCCAATATCCTGACTCTATTCCAGTATCAGACTAAGCTAAATTTTTTATAAATCCTAAGAGATTGCCAGAAGTAGCCAATAGTTCCTTCCTTACTTTGTTGGTGTCATTAATGTTGACTATCCCTTTAAATATTACATCCAGAATGTGGATTATGTTGAGTCTATCCATAAGTTTAAGAGACAATATCTTTACAATATTGAGTCACCAAATTATGAATATGGCAAATCTCTTTCTTAAGGATATATTTAATATATGTTGATTGTTTTAAAGTTTCAGTGAATAAGCATTGTGTATATTTTTTTAGATTTATTCCTAAATATTTGATGATAAGTTGTTGCTATTTCATGTTTCTATTATTATATCTTTATTTTATTTGTAGTTTTTAATATAAGCATACCAAAAGAACAAATTGAATAACATGAAGAATGATATGAATGCAAACACTAACCAAAAATAAATCTGTAATGATATGAAAATATTAGAGAAAGGAGAATTTAAGCAAGATATATTACTAAGTATAAAATAGGTCATTCCATAATAATAAAGATCTTAATCCAAGGTTGGAATGACTAAATGAAAAATTAAAAAATCAGAAAGTTTAGTGAGACATTGACATACTTTGCTAAATAGTTATTAAAACAGCAGACAAAAAAACACTATGCGTATAGAATATCTAAACAACATAATTAATGATTTATACATAATTGAAATATGTATACCACATGACCCTGCAAAAACAGACAACATATTCATTAAGATGCATTGGAAATATTTATGAAAATAACCATCTGCTGTATTATAAAGAAAAACTCAGCAATTTCTAATAATTTAGATTATGTCTATTGATTACAATAAAACTATCACATGTTTATAAGAAGAAATAGTTAAAAGTAAAAAAAAGTCGAACATATGTGAAGTTGCCATTTAATTCTATATAATCCATGGGACAGAAGCAGAAATAATAAAATATTTTAAATTAAATAATATTGTAAATATGATATATCAAAACTTGTGAAATGTAGCTAGAGTGGGGTTTTGAGGAAAATGTATACCTTATATGTACATGTCAGGAAAGAATGAAAGTTGAATGATTAATTCAAGTTTCCACTTCAAGTGGTTAGGGATAAAACAGGAAATCATACCAAAGAAATATGTAAAGAATATCATAAAGGTTTTAGAAGTAACTTAAATAACAAATAAATATATCATTCATAAAATCAACATAGTTAAATATTAATTTATTAAGTTAAAACTTATAGAATGATTGCTCAAGACAAAAAAGAGCCATAAATTACTGACTTTCAGAATGAAAAAGAGAAATCACTACATAGTCTAATATTTTATTTAAATGTTAAATAAATCATTCATTCATCCCCAAAAAATCTAATTCAAAGCATTTGATGATTTTTAAAATGCGCAAATGTGTTCAAATTTCAGTTTAGGAAAGCTGAAATGAAAGATTAAATCTGAAGTGGTATTTATTAAATTAAATTAATTACTAAAAAATCCCACACAAAGAAAACCACAAGTGTAGATTGTCACACTGGTGAATACTTCCAAATGTTTAAGGTATTTGGAAGCAATCTATTTCAAAAAATATATTTTTGAGGTTCATGTTGTTTCATGTATTTGTGGTGTGTTCTTTCACAATATTGAGTAGCATTCCATTTTATATATGTATCACAAATCATTCATCAATTTATGAATATTTCAGTTGTTGCAAGTTTTGGGATTTTATGATTACAGTTGCCATGCATATTTTTGTATAAGTCTATGTGTAGACAGATATTTATGTTTTTGTTGGGTAAATACTGAGCAGCAGAATTGTTGAATTCTGACACTCATAGTGAGTGTCTTTTTAAATTTATATGCTGACAAGCTGTTTTCCAGAGCTGTTGAACAGTTTTATGCCTCTCACAAATTTTGTATAATAAATCCAGTTACTTCTCATCAACATTTGGTGTTGCCAGATTTTTTTTCTTTTAACTCATTTTAGTGTAGGTATATAGATGTGTCACTATAGTTTTAATTTGGGGGATTTTTTTTGGTGGCTAATGATATTGAGAATATTTTCATATACTTATGGACTATCCAAATATATTTTTTGTAAGGCATCTGTTCAAATATTTTTAAAAATTTGCTTGTCCTCATGTTATTAATTGCAAATATTATTTATATATTTTAGATGAAAGCCCTGTGTCAGATATATGTGTTGCCTTGGGTTTGCCTTTTCATTATTTATTTATTATTTATTTATTTATTTTGGAGTTCGAGTCTCATTTGTCACCCACACTGGAGTGCAGCAGCATGCTCCCTGCCACCGCAGCCTCGATCGGCTGGGTTCCGGCAATCCTTCCGCCTCAGCCTTCCAAGTAGCTGGAACTACAGGCGTGTGCTACCATGCCTGGCTAATTTTTGATTTATTGTAGAGATGAGGTTTGGCCACGTTGTCCGAGTGTGTCTCGAACCTGCGGGCTCAGGCAATCCACTCACCTCGGCCTCCCAAAGCACTGGGATTACAGGCTGAGCCACTGAGCCCAGCTGCCTTTTCATTTTTTAAATGGTGTCTTTTGAAAAAAGTATTTAATTTTGATAAGGTAAAATTTAACTATTTTTATACTGAGGTTTTTTTTGATGCTTGATTTACTTTTGTTTTTCTTTGTGTGTGTGTGTATGTCTATATCTTTTCTAATAAAGCTTAAACTACTCCAAGATCTCAAAGATTTGCTTCAGTGATTTCCTCCATATATTTTATAGTTTAAACTTTCTGGTCAGGTGCTGTAGCCCAAGCCTGTAACTCCAGCTTTTTGGGAGGCCGAGGAGAGAGGATTGCCTGAGGTCAAGGTTTCGAGGCCAGCCTGGGCAACTTGGTGAGTCCTCGTCTCTACAATAAATTTTTAAAAATTAGCCTTGTTGGTAGCATGCACCTGTAGTTCCAGCTGCTTGGAAGACTGAGGCGGAAGGATTGCCTGAGCCCAGCAGGTCGAGGCAGTGCTGGCCGTGAGCGTGCCACTACACTCCAGACTGGGCAACAGAGTGAGACTCCGACTCAAAAAAGAAAAAAAAAGCTTTTTGTCTACATCTGTGATTTATCTTAGGTTTTTTTCACTGTAAACATAAGATATAAAATTTTAGGTTTTCTAATATTTAATGTGATTTATAGTTCAACTCTAAGACATTTAGGTATTTGCTTTGGTGCATACAACGAGTACATTGTTCACAATTTACCAGAATAAAGGACTATATTTACAATTCTATATTATTAAAATGTATGCCTATTCTTTGCACTCCCCCCTAATTCACAAGAGTTGAAAGAGGGGAAGACAAGATCAAGGTATGAAGATTTGAATGAGTAAATATAGCTTATTTTCCAGTTGATAGAATACTGATAATAACACAACAATCATAATCTTGCTCACTTTCTTATTGATAAGTCTCTGCCAATTTTATTATTAGGTAGGTAACATTTTATTTCTCTTGTAAAAATTTGAGGTCAAGACACAAAAGAGGTTATTTAGCTTGTCCAAGGATATCATTAGAAAATGATAGAGTCAAAATATTAACACAAGCACTTTGATTTTAAGGCCTATTCATTGAACCACTTCTCATACTGCTTTCTTCAAATAATGCCAGAAGTGCTTGGCCCAGAGGCTGCAGATTAGGTAACTGTGGGCCAACCCAGCTAGTAAATTTATACAATTGCTAATAGGTATTGTTTCATAGTAACACAATTTGAAAAGATGAAGATTTTATGTATAAATCCAGATTTCTTAGAAATTACATAAAACATTAGAAAAACTGACAACAATATCTCTGTTCACCCTACCAGAAATTAACTGCAGGTAATTAAATATGACTGTCCATAGGCAGGGTTTGCTCTTTCCAAGTTGTCATCAGTTGTATTCATTTACATTATTTTCTATAAATATTTAAGGTAGCAAGTCTCACTTAGAAAACTTGGCTTGAAATTATTAAAATGTTCAAAATAAGAAAGGAATATTTTCAAAGTATTCAATAATCATAAAAATGGCTAAAACATTGGCTAAATATTTATATGAAACACATTTGTTATATTTTAAAATGCCTTAATAAATATTAATTAAGACAAACTGTACTTATTCAAAATGATCCAGGTTGTATAATCATATAGAGATCCAGGGGCTATCTAAAGCATGTCATATATATGGGGAACCCACTTTTAAATAAAGAAGTATAATGAAGCCCCTCCAACAACCATGTTTTTTTCTATTCCCTTAGGATATTGACCAGAAGTGATGGCAGCAGGAAATCATTCCTTGGTGACTGAGTTCATCCTGGCTGGACTCTCAGAACAGCCAGAGCTCCAGCTGCCCCTCTTCCTCCTCTTCCTAGGAATCTATGCAGTCACAGTGCTGGGGAATCTCAGCATGATCACACTGATAATACTCAGTTCTCACCTTCACACCCCCATGTACTATTTCCTCAGCAGTCTGTCCTTCATTGATCTCTGCCATTCCACTGTCATTACCCCCAAAATGCTGGCAAACTTTGTGACAGAGAAGGACATCATCTCCTACCCTGAATGTATGACTCAGCTCTATTTCTTCCTTGTTTTTGCTATTGCAGAGTGTCACATGTTGGCTGCAATGGCCTATGACCGCTATGTTGCCATCTGTAGCCCCTTGCTTTACAATGTCATCATGTCTTATCACCTCTGCTTCTGGCTCACAGTGGGAGTTTACTTTTTGGGCATCATTGGATCTACAGTTCATACAAGCTTTATGTTGAGACTCTTTCTGTGCAAGACCAATGTCATTAACCATTATTTCTGTGATCTCTTTCCACTCCTTGAACTCTCCTGCTCTAGCACCCACATCAATGAGTTACTGATTCTGGTCTTGAGTGCATTTAACATCCTGACTCCAGCCTTAACGATCCTTGCCTCCTACATCTTCATCATTGCCAGCATCCTCCGCATTCGTTCCACTGAGGGTAGGTCCAAAGCCTTCAGTACCTGTAGTTCACACGTCTTGGCTGTTGCTTTCTTCTTTGGATCTGCAGCATTCATGTACCTGCAGCCATCATCTGTCAGCTCCATGGACCAAGGGAAAGTGTCCTCTGTGTTTTATACTACCATCGTGCCCATGTTGAATCCCCTGATTTATAGCTTGAGAAACAAGGATGTCAAATTTGCCCTGAAGAAAATTCTCAGTAGGGCAGCATGTTTGTGAATAGAATCAATGTTATGTTGTTATATAAAAACAGGCTTTTGGTTTTCCTAAATATGCAATTTGTTAGGACTGTTGTTCAAATTTGTGGAATTTTAGCAATGTTTCCCTAGGTAATATATCTCCAAAATTACTCTTCAGTCTAATTCCTTTGAAACTATGTTGCAATGTCTATGTGTGGAGAAACACTAAGAAGAAAATCAAAAGATTCTTGAGGATTAAAGCACCCCTGGTTTTATTTTAGAAAAAACACAATCAACAACTTGAACAGTGGTGATAATGATGAAAATGGTAGTGGTAACATGCATGATTTAGATTTTATGAAATATCAAGCACTATACGCAGCATTTTAATTGGATAACTTTAATATTTTCAGCATTCCCTCAGGAAAAGTCTTAGAATTATTTTTCTTTTTAAAAAATGAAGCTTATTTAGTCAGTCAATGCTCACGATCTTAAACATCGAAAACTGTTGAGTCTAGAAAGTTTGGTTCTAGTATCTGTGATGTTACTCCAAGTGATATTTTGTCTGGATAATTATGGCTAGGTCTAAGTATTCCTGAGAATTCTCTTTTACACATCAAGCACTCCCAATTCCTTACATGACTGTGTTGCTGTACTCTATATGGCTTCATAAAGATTTGCTTTTATTTAATGTGAAAGTAATTGCTGTATGAATTCAGTTAAATATTCCACTTAATACATTTAATCATAAATTCATTTACGAATAAAACGTTTAAAGCACCTGTGATGTGCCAAACACTGTATCAATGACTTGAGATAAAGAAGAGATCAAGTCTGAGTTGGTCCATCATCTGGCTTATAGTCCAGCTCACAGCCTATAGTTATATTTTATTAAGAATTGCAGGTACCTTTTTGAGCTTGTATTCAGAAGATACAATCTAGTACAACAAGTTGAAGATGCATGTATTCCTAATGATGTAATTTTTAAATGAGACTTGGTAGAAATATAATTTTAGTGGGAAATTGGGGGATAGGATTTAGCAAGCCTATTTCATCTGAAAGGAAGCACAAACGAAAATTCAGCTAGCTGAGAGAATGTGATGTATTCTAGAAACTGAAAGGAACCAAATGTCAAATAGGTCTGGAGAATGGCAAGAGGCAGTGTGGATATTCATACTTTAACGTAAAAGCTATAAAGAAGATGCTTTTTCCAGAGTCCTGGAAAGTGGACTTCCTCTGTTTTACAGTTCAGTGTATTCGATGTTTTAGATTAAGTATGTCATTTCATTTCTAAGAACTCAAATTGTTAAAAAAAAATGTTTCATATCCAGTAATGGGTGTAACCTTAAGTCTTCCAAACACCACACACAAAGTATGTCTTTCTTCCTTTTTGGATCCTTTCAGATGTATGATGATGCCTGCTAATTGTCCTCTTACCTTAAAATATTTTCATGTTTTTCATAGCTTCTGTGTGTTTTTTGTCTTGTTGATGTCCCTCCTTACAAGGGACATTCATAACAAAAAACAAAATTCTGACTATAATGTAAGTGTAGCACAGTCCTTCCTAGACTCATTGCCCACATAGAAAATGGTAATATTTGTTTAACACGAGACCTTAGAATAGTTATGTCCATTCATAACATTCCAATTCTGTGGAACTCAACTTGAGAAGCTCTTAAGAAGATTATTGCCTGTTCTTTTTTTTTTTTTTTTTTTGAGTTGGAGTCTCACTCTGTTGCCCAGACTGGACTGCAGTGGCCGCTCTGCAGACTCAACCTGCTGGGCACCGGCGATTCTTCCGCTTCAGCCTTCTGAGTAACTGGAATTACAGGCACGTGCTACCATACCCGGCTGATTTTTGATTTATTGTAGAGATGAGGTCTCTCCAAGTTGCCCTGGGCGGATCTCGAACTCAGGGGCTCAGGCAATCCACTAACCTCAGCCTCCCAAAGCGCAGGATTACAGGCTGAGCCACTGAGCCCATTCTATTCCAGACACTGTATTCTCATAATTGTAATCTAAAAAAAAATCAATTTATTAATCAGACATTTACTTTATTGGTCTAATGAGTTAGTAAAGAACTTAGTCTCTTTTTTGATGTAGATTACAAACAAAACATGTACAGTATGCAAAAAAAATAAATTAAGAATTTAAATATTTGCACTGCTTAATTTCAACTTACTTAACTATTTTCTCATCCTAGACCCATTTTCCCAATAGATGTAGTCCCTTTTGGCCAAGATCATAATAATAACATAAAGGGTTTTGTTGACCACATGGTATGCATCATACCTACCAGGGAGTTAGCGATCTCCAAGGCCAAGTTTAACTGAGAAAGGGAAAATTTCACAGAGAGAGTTGAAGTTTCAACTGCTTTTTAAAAACTGTATGCTCAACCATTCTCTTTAGGATTCAGATAAGTAAAAGGGCAGAAGAGGGAAAAAAGGGAAGGACAATGAAAGGAAAGGAATTAGGGAAAGTAAAAAGGATGAGAGAAGGAAAACAAAAAGATTGAGGTTTCAAGCTCTTCACTTGAAGCACGACACTACACTGGCTTTGGTTTCTGAATCTAGTAATTAAAAAACTGGGCTGTTTATCAGAATCATTTAATAGTTTTGTTTGCTTGTTTGCTTTAAATTATTTTGATTTGGAAAGTCTAGATCTGTAAAACTATCACTTGAAGGTTCTGATTCACTAATTCTGTTCTTGGAGTAGGAAAAATCTGTATTAGCAATTTTTCCTGGTAGTTGAGAAAAACTTCAAAGTTGATGAACAAAATGTTCTGAAATATTTTTACATTTCCAGTCTATGAAATGAATTAAAATAAAATACAAGTATCAAATAATAGAAGAGAGGTGACATGATGGTAATGCTTTAACTAGAGTAACTCCACATATAACAGAAAGTTGAGGTAATGTTCAAAGTTGCTAATTCTGAGAAAGGCAACGGGAAGAAATTATTTAGAGTTATAAAAGTAACCTTCAGAAGAATAAAAACAGAAACTGTTCATTGGAGCTGATCTACAGAGATCTTGTCTCTGAGAAATAGGACTAAGAGTATAAAGAAGGTAACAGGAATTTTTGCTTTTTATTATAATTGTGTTTAGAGCTTTATATTCATCATTTTTGTAAATACTACCATCTCTCTAGATGATTCTGATTATCGGCCAAGTCAGAAAATCCTTGAGTTCATCACCACTGTTTGTGTTCAAATACATTCATCTATATCAGCCTATAAATCAACCAGCCCACATAACTTTGTCTTATCTACAGCATATTATGTGAGCCTGTGCCACCTGCCTGTATAATTTGCAATATCATACTCATCTTGAGTAACTAAAATAAGGCTTTGACGTCATTTTTTTTGACATGAGACAAGTTAGATTCTAGAAAGGAAGGCATTTACTGATGCCATATGTGAATGTTAAGTGGATTCACATATGAGGAGAAAGGAGTATAATAGCATAAAGGATAGCATATCCTTCACATGTTATTTATATGGATATTCTATTAGGGGTTTCAGTTGAAGCATTGTTCTCCTCACTATAAAGCTTTGTATAAATCAGGTATCTGGATATGGGTATAAATCTGATTTTGAAATCTGCACTTTATCTACTAGACTGAACTTAAACCAATATGATATATATCATGTCTTATAATGTGCCAGCACCATACGATAGTATAATCCATAGAATTATGTTATATAAGGTTGTTATGGCTATTTTGCCTATATGCATTTCCATGTGAAGTTTATGGCAATCTACCAAAAATACTATTGAAATTTTAATTTAGGGAGTAGTGGGAGTAGTGGCTCATGCCTATAATTCCAGCACTTTGGGAGGCCAAGGTAAGAGGATTGACTGAGCTCACAAGTTCAACTGGGCAACTTGAGATCTCTTCTCTACAATCAATCAAAAAAAAAAAAAATTAGCCAGGCATGGTGGAGCATGTCTACAGTTCCAGCTACTTGGAAGGCTGAGATGGAAGGATCACAGGTTGAGACTGTGGTGGCCGTGAACGTGCCACTGCACTCCAACCTGTGGCGACAAAGTAAGAATCCAATTCAAAAAACAAACAAAAAATGGACTATATTGAATTTAAAGGTGAATATGGAGAAGCTTTATATCTTCATAATACTGCATATTCTAATTCATGAAAATGGTAAATATCTCCTTTAATTAAGATTATCTTGAATATTTATCAATAATTATAATTTATAATAATAATAAATATAAAATATAATATAGTAATGTTTATAATAATAATTTATAATTTTTAGGCTATACATATACATTTTTGTATATTTATTTCTAGGTATTTGATTCCAAATTGCTGCTATTTTATGTGACATTATTATTATTTTTTAATTTTAAAGATGTGGGGTACAATTTAGGGTTAAGTATACAAACATTCATTATGCAAGTATCCTCGTTGATGAGGTGTACCCATCTTTCCTGGCAGAATTCTACTACTGCCAATCCTGTCCCCTCGCCCCCAGCAATTTCCCACTACTGACAATCTTTTTGTTATAGTATTATGATAATTGTTCAAAGTCCATTTATGAGTAAGAACATGGGATACTCAGTTCTTTGTTCCTGTGATAGTTCCTAGTATTGTAGACTCTCAATCCATCCAAGGTGCTCTGAAGTTCATAATTTTGTCCTTCTTTATGTGACATGATTTAAGAAAATCTTTTATTTGTATTTGTTTCATCTTTTAAAAACACATTTTAATATAAGAACATAGAAAGTTTCAAAAAGAAAGAATTAAAAGTCATATGCCACGCAAACTCTAACCAGTAAAAATAGTTTTAGTATTCTAGTATCCGCACAGAAACTTTAAGCATGATGCTTTACTAGATATTAGAAAAACATTCCATAATGATAACTGGTTAAGTAAGTTACCTAAAACAGGAGTCCTTGGGATCTTAAATTTGTATATAACCAAAAGCATAAACACCAAATTTTAAAGCAAAAATGTTAATAAAATTCAGTGATAAATCAAAATTTGTGGGAGACTTAGTGTATAGTCCTCTGTCAGT